GCACTATTCAGTGCAACCCATGGAACTCGTCCAGTGTTGGTGTGAACTGAGTGCGCACTGGTGCGCACTAACTTTTGCCCAATCGAAAACGCTATTAGAGAATCCCGCTACTGGGGCTCTATTCTTGAAAAGAAACGTATACGAAAGTCTAGGGAAATATTATAGTATGCGTAACATATACTGTAGCATTTCCCTAGACTTTCGTATACGTTGCTTTTCAAGAATAGAGCCCCTGGATTTCTCCAGCGCTGCAGTGCGCATGCGCTAAAAGAGGGCTTATCTAACAACACTGATCCTACCCGCTTGGGACCTCCTAACCACGTGGAAGTTGCAGCTGGGACCATGAGGCGTCATCTACAATACACGGAGTAAGAAGTAAGGTTGGATTTTCATTTGACGCTAGACGCTCATTTTCAGCGTCAAAACAGGTCACGTGATCAAAATTGACGAATACCAAGCGTCAATTTTGATCACGTGACCTGTTTTGACGCTGAAAATGAGCGTCTAGCGTCAGATGAAAATCCAGCTTAAGAGTAAAGGCCGCAGCACACACTCTTGCATAACGCATAATGCATAGTGCATGAAGGAATCAACCAATCACAGTTCTAGTTTTTCATGGAGTGTGAGGAAGGGAAAGATTATGATTAGTTGATTCGCTTATGCACTATACGTTATGCGTTATGCAAGAGTGTGTGCTGCGGCCTTAAGAAATTGACCAATCACAGTCGATTATTCTTCTCACATTCGACTGTGATTGGTCAATTCTTACTCTTACTTCTTACTCCGTGTATTGTAGACCGGCCTTCTAAGTAGAGGGACCGTGGGAGGTATAGTTTAGTGGGAGATGGCCACAATCTCTCTCTCATTTTAGTCGCCAGCGATTTGTCGTCACATGAATATGTACCGGCGACAAAGCGACAGATATTTAGCGCTGGCGACATTTTTCCTCCACTTCTCTCAAGTCGGCCAGCGATTTGTCGCTGTATGAATTCGCACCTTAAGACTTCTGATGTTCTGACTTGCGGCTTACTGTAGAAGGTTTATTGTTATTTTATTTTGAACATATTCGACAATTTTAGGAAGAAATCTAGGGTTTTTTTGGAGCTTACTTAGGGAGATTTAGGGTGGTTCCGAGGCTGTTTTAGGGGAAAATCGACGAAAGCACCTGGCAACACTGCTCTCATCCCTATCGACCATTTTGACACACGGATCGCGTAGTCCATTCTCTATGGCTTTGTTTCGAGCCCACTTTTTTCCGTGATCGGCCGCTTGAATTTAATCTTCTTATTACTCCGTGATTGATCCCATTGTCACAAATGTTAGGCAACATCGTCAAAAACAGCCTCTTACTGCACGGTAAGAGTGCACTGCTTAGAAGGTAATGAAAGTCTTCAATTAAAATTGAAGTGTTTGATCAAATTCAAATCTTTTTGTCTTTATTGTTGAAATATATACATTCTAAGTTGATTATATGAAAAGCAACTGTGCAATTTCTCAAAGGAATTTATAAATTTGAAATTTTTATTTAAGAAATTAATTGTATAATTTATAATTGATCACATGAAATGTTTCCAAAGAAATTGAGGTAATTATTCAGAATACCTCCCTCACCTTCGATTTCGATAAAATTAGGCTCATTCGACGCGTTATTGCATGAAACGAAAGAATCTGGCAGAAAAAAGT